TAGATTGTTGCATGCATCTCAATGACCTATAGACCTTGTTGCATGCATCTCAAATGGTGAAAGGGAAGAGACAGATGTGAGGGTCCCTTTTATAAAAGCACTCATCCCACACACAAGGGCTCCATCTCCATGATTTATTCATCTCCTAGTACAGTCACATTGGCCAGTAGAATTTCAACCAGTGGATTTCAGGAGGGACACAAACATTCCAGTCACTTTCCAATTTCCATGAAACATGCACATTTCCAGACAAGTTCCCCATAGATCACCTGAAATTACGTAACAGGTTTCATGTCTGTGTAACTGGTTCTTTCTATGTAACAAGCCATCCCCAAACTTAATGGCTTAAAATAGCAAAAGCCACTTGCTTTGCTCAAATGCCTTTTTTTTTTTTTGCAAAATTTAATAGATTATCTCTTTTTAGCTCCACATGGTGTCAGCTGGAGCAGCCATCCAGGGGATGAAGGACTTACTTTTAAGATAATGGAAGATTAGAATTGGCCATTAGCTGGAAGCTCAGCCAGGCTAGGGCTGGGATAGGTTCTTCTTCACAGAGGGTGGAGGCCTGGAGGAAACAACCAAGAAACTCGGATGTACATGCCTGGAGCTGGTGTGAGCTCCCACAATCTCGTTCCCACTGTCCAGATCAGCTGAGGCACCACATGTCAATTGAGGTGTGAGGAAAGAGACATCAAAAACACATTTAAGAACCAATGTGTTGATAGATACCTTTGAGATCATCACTGGGAACCGGAATCCAGCATACACTCTGTTGTTTTATGTATTTTCACCTTTGAACATAATACCTTTGCTCAGGGAATGAATAAGTTGTGTATCACAACTTAACAAATTTCCTGCTGGAAGACAATTATATTATTTCCAGTTTTTCCTTTTGTCTTATTTGGTTTGCTTTGCCATCAAAATCTTGTGGTGACTAGATTCAAACCTATATCCTAGCATTTTCTTCAGAGAGCATCCATGGAACAAATCTCTAGCAGTGATAGTACTAGGTCGAAAGAGTTATTTGTCTTCTTTTTTTACTTAGAAAGGCTAAGGAAGGATACTAGGCAGCTAAAAATAAGACGGGATATTTGTGCAGAAATGTCTCTGGCTTGAAACTAGTATTTAATCTTTGTTAGAGGTGGGATAAAGAAGGTGCGAGATTGAAGGAAGGTTGGGGAAAGGTGTAAAGAGAAGGAGGTGTCAACCTCCAGACAGGTAGGAGGAATTGATTTTCCCATGAAGATACCTTGAAAAGTAGTTACTACTAGGTCCATGTGGTAGATATGAAGACCAAGGCTCACATTTCTCAAGCTTTAGGAGCATTGTAACCATCCAAGAGAACAGCGTGTAATACCCACTTGTGAGTCCCAAGTTCTGACCCACCAGGTCTGGAGTGGAACCTGAGAATGTGCATTTCAGTGAACTTTCCAGGTAATGCCATGTGGCTGGTTCAGGCCCCACACTTTGAGCCCCACTGAGTGGACTTTTGCTCAAGATAGCAAGAGATGATCAAGATCAACCCAACCGCACGGGGTCGATACTTGGATTTGACCCAATTTTATTGACTCCAAGCCTGTGCTAACCTACTCTGCTGTGAGCATTCTTAACCTAGGTTCACATCAGAATCATGTGGGGATCTTCAAAAATGATGGTTCCCACATTGACCATAACCAGTGATAAAATTTAGGGGAGGCCCTAGACCCCCAGAACATTCTCAAAACTTCCAGATAAAGTAAGATCTCTTTACTCCTCCTGCCCTTGATGTGGGCTTCCACCAGCTTGTGGCAAAAAAAAAATAAGTGGACTGTTTCTCTACTAGGTGTTGTTGTACATTCAGATGTGGGCAGATGTGCCTGCAGATGAAGAACTCAAAGATGGCACAAATTCACAGTGATACCTGAAAATTTTGCTGCCAACTTCACTCTAATGTTAGAGCTATGTCCCTTTCCAGGACTCTACCAAGGTAATAGAAACAATGAGCAGGAACACAACCTGTCCAAATTACTGCATGACAGTGCCTGCTCTCTGTCTTATCTCTTAGGCCCACTCTAGTAATGACACTCTGATGTGGAGCCTGTCTCACGGGGAACATTGCCATCATTCCCGTTGTGACTCAGAGGCCAAGGCTTGAACCAAGCAGAGAGATTGCAGTTTTTTGATAAAGAAAGGCAACCTTTTTCTGAGATCTTTCTCCCACTTATCTATGGTATTTCAATGATTGACAAACAGACAAAAATATATTTATTTAGGGATTATCTATATTGAAAACTAGACGTGGGATTTCTTTCTCTGTCAACACTGCAGTAATATCAGCTGTTTGAACAAAAGGAGAGGTATTTTTCTATTCAACCCTGAATGCTGAGAATTCTCCACTTTATATTCAGAAAGACATTTAGTTTTATTGATTGTGTTAGCTGGCTAAGTTTAAACTCCAATCGCCAAGCAAGGAGAGGGTTGATTTTCTCCATATTGTAAAGGTTATTAGGAGGATATCGGATATAGAAGTTATTTGTCTTTCGATGATCCTGTTGAATAAGACCCACTCCAATATGTTCCAGAAGTTTTGTTCAAAACAAATCCCTTGGTGACCTCAAGTACCATGATGTTTCTTCTAGGAACATTAACTTTATTTTTTTCCTCTAGGAATTTGCTTATTTGAAAGAAAGAGAGGTGAGACATCCATTGAATCACTCCAAAAACACCACAGAGATGGGGCAGATCAAAGGCAAGAGCCAGAAACTCCACCCTGGAATCCCATATGGATAACAGGCCCATGGACATAGCCTGTCATCCACTCCCGTCCAACTTTCTCAGGCAGCTTAGTGGGAAACTGGATGGAAGCAGAGATGCTGGGACTTGAAGCAGCACTGTAATGCAGGATGCCAGCATGGAAGCAAGGTTTAACCCACCACATCTAAACTAAATTTTAATTTTTAAGACAGCTTGTTAGTGAAAGTGCCTTGTTGTGGGAGGGAGAAATCTACATTTGGCTGCTTTTAATTGGTAAGAAATGTGAAAAGTCTGCTAACAGACTGAGAATTAAGAGGCACACTTAGATTTGCTATAATCCAGAGTCCTTTGCAAGAAACAACAGCAAGCCCTTAGTGTACTTTCCCAGCAATTTCACATCAGAAAAAAGAAGTATATGAAACACTAAGAAAAGATAACTGGATTTCCCCTCTCTTTCTCATTTGCCTTCTGGTCTCAGATGTGAGGGGAGAAGCCAAATCCCACAGCCACTACTCAAAACCCCTGGTGGTTTTATTCGGAGGAAAAGCTCACCTGTCAAGAAACTCTCCTAAGAGTTGTAGCTATTCTCTACCTCATCAACGAGAGATGAGGATGAAAACACTCTCACTTAGAGGATCAGCTTGTGGTAGTGAAACAACAGGTCTAAAGGCAGAGTTGTCAAGTAAAGAGATCTGTGCTCGTCTGTAGCAGGCTCTTGTGCTGCTTCCAGAAATATCCTTTCCCTCAAAATTTTTGGCTGTTTACTCTGGTGTGATTACAGGGATCTGAAGGATAGCTCTTTCTTTGCTTTCCAAGCAACATGACGTGATGGATAGAAATGACCACAATAGTTTTTTAAATGAAGCTATGCAAATCTGATAGACTAAAGTAAATGTTTCATAAAACCAATGACTGTTTAAATTGTAGGACTAAATTGTTTGTATATAAATATTACCTTTTATATTCCATTTGAGTTTTATGTAGATGAACACATTACTTTAATGACCTGCATTTACGGAGGGAGAGTGGAAGCATGGCTCCCTGAAAATCTCACCGGCCAGATGGCTGCCTTTTCTTGCATGAGATTAAAAGATGTTTCTCATTCGCTGCGATGCTTCTGAGGCAAATTAATATCGCCGGCTAAATTGCTTGTGTTTTTTTTTTTTTCAGAGTAAAATTTAAAGAGAACTTTTTAAAGCAATTGGTGTCACAGGTTCTCGAAGCAGATTGCTCTCCAGGTAGAGAGACATGCGGTAATTAATGGAAAGAATTCTGTGTTAATTGACTGCTTCGGGAAGAGAGATATAATGACTCCTTATTAATCATGAAAAGAGATGTACAGCGTGGAGGCACCACAATAATTGCTCTAACAGTGGAGAAATGTTAACTAATGAAAAGAACAATGATGTAAGAAATTAGCTTCATATCCAATGGAGGCTGGGTTTTGGAGCACATTATTGCAAGTGGCAACCACAAAATGTTTCCTGAAATAGCACATCCAAGGAATCTCGTGCCACTTGAATTTTAAAATCTGACAGTGCCCCTGAAATCCTTACTTGAAGAAGCAAAGAAAACACTTACCCAGAGGCTATCTTTTCTTTCAAAGGAAATGGCCTTGCGTGGTCTCTCCTCTGGGCTTCTAAAATCAAAGTCATCCCCAGACCAAAATAAGGTCATTTGTTCACATCATTTAATTTCAACACAGTAAGTCATTTGGACTGCTAAGGACAAAGGGAATAGGAGAGAGTATTTTTCCCTAAATGGAAATAGACATATTCAACTTCTAATATTTGTCAGCCAACACAAAGAAAAAAAAAAATCAGATTCACTCTGAGAACACAGTGTCTTTGGTTTTTAAAAAAAAGAAAACATCTAGCTTTAAGTCCCTGGGTGAACACGCAGCTTCCTCTCCATCTCACAACCCACATTTTTCAAGAGGAAGTCGGGTCCTATTAGCATGCAGAGGCACTGTCAGAGCTCAGTCCGCAGTGTAAAGAGCCGTTCAAAATCATTAGTGGCCACAGGCCAAGGCCGCCCTCGTGATTCCAGGGTGCCTGGGGAGTTCCCAGGAGAGCCCTTGTTGTCATTTGCATGATGGGAAGAGTGCCACCACAAGGACCTGGGAGCTGAAGGACACACATTCACCAGGCTTTTTGCAGGAACCCAGCAGCCTGGGTAGGTGATGGGTAGACGGCAAGGCTAATCTCCCTGCACCTTCCCAGCAGGTAAACGGACGCTGTTGACTCCTCTCTTGCTTGTCCCTACAGGTGGAATGTCCTGGGACTACAAGGCGCTCTCCTCTGTCACTTCATTGAGCCCGTGTACCTCCACAGCATCGTTGTGGGAAGCTTGCACCACACAGGCCACCTCTCCAGAGTCATGAGCCACAGGATGGAGGACATTGGCCAGCTGCCCACCTCCTACCGGCACAACCGACTCCTCCTCAGCGGTAAGAAAACACTGTCCTCAAAAATCTACCACCTCCGTTCCATCAGCAGGCAAGCAGCATGCAGGTGCCACCAGTGCCACCTCAGGGCATGTCCTACCTGTTGTAGCCAACAACTACTTAAGGCTTATGAGCAAAGGAAAATCAATGCAAAGACTTTAAAAAAATCTTGAAAGGTTTCAGTGCATCTTTGAGTGTAAGAAACCTGCTTATAAATCTGTGATGGGATCTAGCTCATCACACATCTCTCTGTCACTTTCACTACAGTAGTCAATTAAAAAGGAAAAGGCTCTGCTGCTCATGTGTGCGTCTAAGAGGCCCCAGCCCATGACGCTCACCAGCAGACCTTGCCAATGGAGCTGCCTGGAAAAGGAACAGCAGTAAAAAGGAAGGTGGAGACCAGTCACGGTGGCTGGAGCAGTGTTACAGAAACCAAGGATCCCTAGGCTTACTGCAACAAGGCCAAGAGGGGAGCACATCTCAGAGGCAGTGAGCTAACCTCGGCCAGCACCGCACTGGGCTGCCATGTCTGTCTTGCACAGACCCCAGTCGTGACTTCTCGAACCTTCACACCCCCCAGCACATGAGGAGGCTCTCCCTGGTCACTTGGCACATGGGGCCAGTAACCAAAGCCAAGAATCACTTAAGCAGAAGGAAACTGCCAAGTTCAGGTCCGCTTGAAAAGAGCCGGTCTTAAGTGCTAGGAGGGCTTTGGGAAAATGTCCACCGTGACTACTAGCTAGCCTGCTACATTAAAGAAACTTCCAGGTATATAGAAACTGAAAAGCAGAGGAAGGAATCATGCATATTTTAATAACATGCATATTTTAATGCCCCCCAGAAGCCTCATTTTGAAGCCCTGAAGGAGAAGGCATTCAAATTTGGTGTATCTTCCCTAACTGAGTAGTGGAAAGAAAGCTCTCAAGGGCTATTTATGGTAAAACCAGGCAGATACATTGAGAAAGCAACAAAACCACTTCTGTCCAAGGAGCACACTTTCCTCGCTCCAAGAGCACGGCTTGGCTGGTTTAAATCCCACACCAAATGCCCTGGCTGGGGGAGCAGGCGTAGGAGGGAATGGCGGACAACAGGTGAAAGAGCTCAGAGCAGCTGGGCCTAAGAGTTATTCCCAGGATTCTGTAATTGTTCTAAACTATAAGACCAAAAGTAAAACAAGGCCTCCTGAGGGCACTGGTAGATACTAAAAGAAATAGCACATAAATATGCCAAGGAAATATTCGGGAAAAGAAACCTGTTATCGCAGGAGTAACTCCATTTATCAATTTGTTCCACAAAATGCAGCAATTGACCATTTGAAAATTGTCCATGTGCTGTTAAGGAAAATATGAGCACAGACCTCAAACTTAAAAACAGAGAAGACTAAAGATGGGTTCTCCCCCATCGTATCACTAAACTGTACTCTGTTCCTCCAACATCTTAAAATTCCAGAATTCCTAATCTTAAGATTCTGACTACCTAGTAAAAATTTGTGTGGGTATCAGGGAGGATTTTTGTGGTACCCAGTGCAGTAAAAGTCAACGTATCTGGGGAGTTGCTTCATCTCATGCTCAAATGGACCAGATCCTGTTAGATTGCAGAGGCTTGCTAATGTGCAGTAAAGGAGAACTTGGAGTAGGAAGTTATGAAACTGTCTCAACACTATTTAAAAGAGGGTGGTAATGTTTAATCAAGGCATACTAAGTATCTGCTTTTTTTTTTTTAGTGTTTTTATTTTTTTCATGACACAGTTCCATAGGCTCAGGGATTTCCCTTCCACCCTCCTCATTTCTCCAGCCCCTGCCACTGTTTTCCCCCACACTATTACAGTAGTATAATCCTTCAGCAACAGTCACAAGTACATCATTCTGCTATTTAAATGTATCATGATATTGTGTACTTGTTTATTAAGACATCACCTCTCATTGAAAACAGTCTAAATTTAAAATATTGACAAGACGTGGTAACACCTACATACTGATGGTGATCTTATCCCAAGTGCATTTGTGCTTCTTCATGATATGCTGTCCCCATAAGCCCTATTTCTGTCCCCAGACTCCTGACTCCTTCCCTCAACCCCAAGATAGAGAGTGTCCCATAGTCTCAGCCACTGTCTACAAGGTACATGTTAGACAGATTTAGTTCATGGAGCCAAGATCTAAGTGCTGCCTTCTATAGCTGTGTTCAGAGTTACAGGATCCTGGGACGACAGCTTATAGGCAATAAACAGCCTACAGCTGGTTTTGCTGAGTCTGAGGGGTTCGAGTATTTGGGACAAGGAGATCCTTGTCTGATCCAACTGATGCAGTTATTACAAAGTACTGAAGTCTTTTAGAGAATGGCTCTATCACTTAGAGAAGGGGCATAATCCACGTTGGATGCGGATTTGCTGTCAATGTCAATTTATCACATAGTCAATCAATTCTCATACCAGCCAACAGCAATTGATAGCATTCCCATTTTAATAACATGAATACACTCAAGTAATTCTGTAATTTATCTAAGATTAATAATAAAAAGCAAAGATTTGAACTCAGATCTGACTGATTGCAAATCCCAAGTGCTTTCAATATTCCACATTGAGTCCTGTGGCAGAGAATTTTCATAACAGATATTGTTATTTATCACACAATACAAGAATACCTGAAGACTAGTCAATAGGTTATTACTAGGGAATTGGTGTGGAAGAAGCAAACTAACCCACTGAAACTTCGTCTAAAACTCTGAGCTGCCTAAGAGTTCACATACAGTCTCTGAAACAATCATTATCATTTGTGCATCGCTGAACGAGAAACTGAAAAATTCACTTCAGATTGGAAATCTACAAAATTACTTCTTTTTAAAAATTTTTGGTTTTTTATTAGAAAGGCAGATATACAGAGAGGAGGAGAGAAAGAAAGGAAGATCTGCCATCTGATGATTCATTCCCCAAACAGCCACAATGGCCGGAGTTGCACTGATCCGAAGCCGGGAGTCCGGAACCTCTTCCGGGTCTCCCACACGGGTGCAGAGTCCTAAGACTTTGGCCCGTCCTTGACTGCTTTCCCAGGCCACAAGCAGGGAGCTGGATGGGAAGTGAGTCCACCAGGATTAGAACCAGCACCTGTAAGGAATCCCGGTGCATGCAAGGCGAGGACTTTAGCTACTAGGTTAATTATTATGTATTTTTAAATTTACTTAATTGTGTATTTCATTATGTATTTAACTATTGTTTGAGAGATAGGAAGGGAGTGGGAGGTGGGAGAGAGACAGAGAGCTCTTATGCATGGATTCTCTCTTCAAATGCTCGTAACAGCCAGGGCTGGACCAGACTGAAACCAGAACTGAGAACTGAAGCAGAGGATGTGATATGGATCTTCCACCTGCATGTTAGGGACCCAACCACCAGAGCCATCATTGCCTACAGTACATGCACCAGGGGAAGCTGGACTTAGGAAACTCAAACCCAGATCCTCTTCTGCGTGAGCATCTCAACTGGACTCTTAATTCCAGGGTGTGTTTTTTTTAAGCAATAGAGAATATCAATAATTGTTTTCAAAACTATCATTTTGATTCCAGTTTTGACCTCTTTCTTTCCTTTTTCCTTCTGTCACATGTTAACGTTTATTTTAAAGATTACTTACATAATGTGATTGGACAACTGACACAGCTCTGGGTGGATGTCAAAAAGGAAAAGCAGAAAATAATGGTTGCAACTGAATGAAAATGTCCTGATATTGGGAGCCCCAAGAACTTCAGTAAAGTTATACAATTTCTAAGTCAAATTTAAGAAAATCTCTCTCTCTTCTGATGAGTGTCAAGTACCCTCTTATTCTGTGCTTCTAGCTTTTTGAGTTATTCTCATTCACATCAACTAGAAGAATTTAAACTTTATAAGCACAAGAAAATAAAAATTACAAACACAATCATCATTACCAAGCCACTATTCACACAGAATCTTTGATCCAATGTTTGAGCATGAGCATACTTCTTGCTGGAAATTTTGTCTCTTTTTGGGGCATTTTAAGCCATATGGGAACATAGTGACATATACATCACTTCATTACATCAGCAGTTAGGGAGTAGTGAATTTCAAAAATCATAAACAGGTAAATTCAGAACCGCCTGACACCACTGAGTGGCATAATACAATAGTAGGATACCTGAGACTCCTCATCCAGCCCCTAGGCCATCCACCCCACTGCAATAAATGATGTCCAACTAAACATTTTAATCTGCTTTAAGTAATGGTTTAGAGTATGATTTTCATTATTGGGAAACCGAAAAGAATAACCCTTAGTATCTCACCTTGTATCAACCCCTGAGCAGTAACTGCATTACTCTTGATGGACAGTTAATGTAAAATTTTTAAAGCAGATTGTCCTAATTTCTTATTAAGAAATAAAAGGTGCCAAATGAAGATAAGGATAAGAAGACAGACAAGCAAGTGAAATTTACCTCAGGGCTTGCTCAAGGTCAGTTTGCAGCGTTGCCTTAGATGATGAAGCTAGAGGGGCACAGCATGGTAGCCTAGTGGCTAAAGTCCTCGTCTTGTATGTACTGGGATGCCATATTGGTGCCAGTTCGTATCCTGGTGCCCCGCTTCCCATCCAGCTCCCTGCTTGTAGCCTGGGAAAGCAGTCAAGACAGCCCAAAGCCTTGGGACCCTGCACCAGTGTGGGAGACCCAAAGAGACTCCTGGCTCCTAGCTTCAGATCGGCACAGCTTTGGCTATTGCGGCTGCTTGGGGAGTGAATCATTGGATGGCAAATCTTCCTCCCAGTCTCTCCTCCTCTATGTAATCTGCCTTTCCAATAAAAATAAATACATCCTTAAAAAAAAAAAAAGAAGATGAAGCTAACCTACTAGGCTAGTAGAAACTCTGCAATTTAGATATGGCTAAATTAGTTGTGTGTTAAGAAAGAGCAAAAAAGATGAAAAAGATACCCTTACTGATTAGAACATATTAACAGAACAGTGAGAACAGTGATTAGAACATATTAACATTTTCGAAAAATAAACTAGAA